TGGGGTCTTCAGCGTAATAAAGGGGTCCTTTCGAGCCTGGTTGGCTCGTGGGACACCTGAGTCAGCTGACAGGTCCCGGCAGGCCAAGCGGACTGCAGCTCGGGTGGTTGTGGAGGCAAAAACTCGGGTCTGGGAAGAGTTCAGTGAGGCAATGGAGAAGGACTATCGGTCAGCCTCAAAGAAATTCGGTCAACCCGTCCGGCGCCTCAGGAGGGGGAAGCAGTGCCCTGCCAAAATTGTTTACAGTGGAGGTGGGCAGCTGTTGACCTCAACTGGGGACATCATCGGATGGTAGAAGGAATACTTCGAGGATCTCCTCAACCCCAGCGTCATGTCTTGGGCCAGGGGCTCAGAGTTGAACTCATCCATCACCCAAGCTGAAGGCACCAAGGTAGTTAAGAAGCTTCTCAGTGGAAAGGCATCAAGGGTGGACGAGATCTGCCCTGAGTACCTTAAGTCTCTGGATGTTGTGGGGCTGTCTTGGCTGACACGCTTCTGCAACATTGCATGGTGGTTGGGGACAGTGCCTCTGGACTGGCAGACCGGGGTGGTGGTCCCTCTTTTCAAGAAGGGGGACCGGAGAGTGTGTTCCAACTATAGAAGATCACACTTCGCAGCCTCCCCGGGAAAGTCTTTGCCAGGGTACTGGAGAGGAGAATTCGACCAATAGTCAAACTTTGGATTCAGGAGGAACAATGCGGTTTTCGTCCTGGCCGTGGAACACTGGACCAGCTCTATACCCTCTTCAGGGTGGCGGAAAGTTCATGGGAGTTTGCCCAACCAGTCCACATGTGTTTTGTGGATCTGGAGAAGGCATTCGACCATGTCCCTCGCGGCGCCCTGTGGGGGGTGCTCCAGGAGTACGGGGTCCGGGGCATGATCTTGGTTCGCATTGCCAGCTGTAAGTCAGACTTGTTTCCGGTGCATGTTGGACTCCTGCAGGGCTGCCCTTTGTCACTGGTTCTGTTCATTATTTTTATGGACAAAATTTCTAGGTGCAGCCAGGGGCCGGAGGGAGTCCGGTTTGGGGACCACAGGATCTCGTCTCTGCTTTTTGAAGATGATGTTGTCCTGTTGGCTCCATCAAACCAGGACCTCCAGCATGCACTGGGGCGGTTTGCAGCTGAGTGTGAAGCGGCTGGGATGAGAATCAGCACCTCCAAATCCGAGGCC